CTGGAAGCAGGTATCTGGGATTTATTTATCTTCTATAATTGAAACTTTGTTGCCTTGAGTGGAGGCCACAGCTGGCCAGGGAAGGCGGGAAGCTTGGCTTCCTCCATCGCCGGTGGCAAGCTAAGCCTCCTGCTTGCTCCAGCTCCGTGGCCAGCCGCCGTCTTGGTTGTGTTAATTTGCATATAATCACCTGATTGGCTGGTGGGCATGGCTTATGGGCGGGGCTTATGGGTATAGTGGAGGTATGGTCAATTTGCATGTTTCTCTTTTATTAGATTAGATGAATGATCCCTTCTGTAATTCATACATGGCACCATACATAGTTATCACAATATTATTGACTATATTTTTTGTTGTTTTTTACATACCTGTGATTATTTTGTAACTATCAATTTATAGTTCTTAATCCCTTTACCTTTCTCACCCAGACCCCAAACCCATCCTCCATGCAAGCAATTTTCAGTTTGTTCTCTGCATCTATGAGTCTTTTTGTTCATTTATTTTGGTTTTTCATATTCCACTAATAAGTGAAATAATATGGTATTTGTGTTCCTCTGTATGGCTTATTTCACTGAGCATAATATCCTCTAGGTGTATCTGTGCTACCACAAATGGTAGATATTGTTCTTTTTATGGCCAAGTAATATTCCATTGTATATATATACCACCTCTTTTTTATCCCCTTGTCGACTGATGGGCACTTGGGTTGATTCCATAGCACTGAGATTGTAAATAATGCTACAATAAACATAGTGGTACAGATATTCTTTTCAATCAGTGGTTTGGGTTTCTTTGGTTATATACCCAGGAGTGGAATTGCTGGGTCATAAAGCAATTATATTTTTAATTTTTTGAGAAATGTCCATACTGTATTCCAGAGTGGATGCAACAATTTATAATCTCATCAAAAGTACACAGGGTTTCCCTTTTCTCCACAGCTTCACCAACATTTGTTTTTTGTTGATTTATTGATGGTAGCCATTCTGACAAGTGTGAGGTGATAGCTCATCATGGTTTTAATTTGCATTTCTCTGATGATTAGTGACACTGAACATCTTTTCATAAGTCTATTGGCCATTTGAAGGAACTCTTTGGAAATGTGTCTATTCAGGTTCTCTGCCCTTTTTCAAATTGATTTGTTGTGTGTGTGTGTGTGTGTGTGTGTGTGTGCTTCTTGTATATGTGTTGAGTTGTATGAGCTTTTAAAAATAAATTTGGAATATAAAACCCTTATTGAATGTATCATTGGTAAATATCTTCTTCCATTCAGTGGGTTATTTTTCTTCTTTGTTTATAGTTTCCTTTACTATGCAAAAACTTTTTAGTTTGATGTAGTCCCATTTGTTGATTATTTTCTTTTGTTGCCCTTACCTGAGGGTATATATATATATATATCAGACAAAGATATTGCTAAGAGAGACATCAGACAGTTTAGTTTACTTCCTATGGTTTTTTTTGCTAGTTTTGTACTTTTAATTCTTACATTTAGATATTTAATCCGTTTTGAGTTTATTCTTTTATATGGTGTAAGAAATTGTCCTAGTTTCATTTTTTTTTGCATGTATCTGTCCAGTTTTCCCAACATCATTTACTGAATAGACTTTACACCATTGCCTGTTCTTGACTCCTTTGTCATATATTAATTGACTATATAGGCAGGGGTTTATTTACAAGCTCTATTTTAAACTAAGACACTTTCTAGCCAGATATATTCTGAATAGTAAATATCCCATTGCATTTGAGAAAGAAATTGGAAGCTGCATTTACATTACAGAGAAACAAACTTTGAAAGAAATAGTTAACCACTTTTGATAAGAAAGGGATTGTTCTGAAGTTCAGAAAAGTGGGGCAGTAGATATCAAAAATAATGATATATCAGGAATGGCTGCATCACATTTTATACATTTCTGGACATATTGCAGAACTATCCTGATTTCCTGAAAACACATCAACTAATCCAGTGCTGCATCTGCTTATAACTCTATTCACAATTGTTCGCTTGTTTTCATTTAGTTATTTATAATTCTATTAAAAATCTGCAAACTTTTATTGAAAGCTCACTGTGACAAGTGCTATGATAAGTATCTCATTTAATCACTAAGATATATACAGTATCACACTTTGCATATAACTGCCATTGTCTTATATATTATATGTCTCAGGATATAAATCCTAAATTGTAAGCTGCATGTTCCATAAACTTAAGTACTGTTCCTAACTAATTATAAGTTTTAAGTTCTATATCTTTAATTTGCTTAAATGTTTCTGAATGTCTAAAGTGATTACTGAATAATTTAAAATGTATATGGAACATAAAAATTATCAAACAAATCCATTATTTAGTTATCTAAAACTTTCATGTTAACATTCCTTTAGGATGGGGGGAGGGGTGATCCTGAAACCTTACAAGTCCTTTTGTTTATAATCACATTTAAGGATTTATGACATCTTTAAGGAAGATTATATACGGAAGAAGTAATGTCTATTATATCTCTAACCTACCCATGGAAATTTCCTAATGTTGCTGGAAGGTCATTTTAATTAAGACAAAATATTGTTCGAAGCAGATGAAAACTAAGCTAGGATGGCAAAGTAAATCCTATGAATGCAAAAGAAGCAACTAGATATAAAAGATTAGAGAGACTATGTGCTGAACAAGAACAACCAAGTTGGGAACAGATAAGGTGGTGGAGAAAGAAGATAGGGAAAGTGTGTAAAAGTCTCTGTCTGTAGGGTGTCTGACAGGAACTGAAAAAGTACAATTGTCTAAGTACAAATTCTTTAAGAGTTTGCTGGATTATTACTGAAATGCAAACTCTAATTCCTAAGAAGTAATACTTACAATAATGGGGTATGACACATGGCAACCACAAGATGAGAAGCAAGGCCCAAACGTGGTCCTGCATCTTGTGACTAATTTTTCTTTACTCGAGGACATCCTTTTACACCAAAGTAGTAGAAAGATATTAGTCCTATAATAGAATACCTATTTGTTCAGAGGAAGAGGAAGGGAAGTATGAAAAAATAATTTCATAAGAATAGGTGGATGTAACTCAGCTGAACTGAGGACAAGCTCAGAACAAAAAATTTGAGGAACTATGCCTTCAACATTTTGATTGAGGCACACATTTGTGATAAATGATTTCCAGAACACAAAACATAGGGAATTGATGAGCA